GCCCCCCAGGTTAGGGTTGGGGTTGGAGGGGGAACGTGTTGAAAGGGATATGAGGGGGGGGCCACCAGAGAGGAAAAGAGCTGTCCTTTGAGGTCTGGGGGTTTAGGACAGCTCTCTGGGCTGGGGAGGAAGGCTTAGGTCAGAGGGCAGGGAGCAGGGGGTTGGGGCTAGACAGGGGAGGAAGGGGAAGGAGCGAAGGAGACTGCCCTAGGGCTGGGTGGAAGGTCTTGATGGTTTTCTGCGCTCTTCTTCCCAGGTAGCTTGCTGGAATTTCTTAAGGACCAGGAAAGCCAGGATTTGAGCCTGCCCCACCTGGTGGACATGGCAGCCCAGGTGAGCAGGGACAGCACCCTCCATCCCTTTATTGCTCAAACACCCCAAGCAAACTCCGGGCTGGTGAGTAGATTCCTACCCACAGTAACTCTGGACGACAGAGAAGAGTTGTCCCACCGGCTTCCAAGGCTGTACATCTCTATGGGAACAGAGGGCCACATCTCTTTTCCTGCAGGACTGTTGGGCTGGAACCACTGGCCTTGAGGTTCACGGCCAAGCACCAAACCACCATGTCACCCCGGCTCTTGTTAGCTAGCTTCCCAACCTTTTCTTTCCTATTAACCTTCCACAACCCCGTGCCCTCACACACCGGATGTGCACCTTCCCTCCCCAGAAATGAGTCTTCACACCCAAGCACGGGTGGCTCCGAGCCTCAGGCTTTCCATCTGAAGAAGGGGTGTTTCAAATGGCCTCCTGCAGGGGCCCTTCTAGCTCCCCTCGGCCAAGGCCACGTGCGCTTCTCACCCGCCCTGCCTGCTCCCCAGATCGCAGAGGGCATGGCCTACATGGAGCGCATGAACTACATCCACCGGGACCTGCGGGCAGCCAACATCCTGGTGGGGGAGCGACTGGTGTGCAAGATTGCAGACTTCGGGCTGGCCCGCCTCATTGAGGACGATGAGTACAGCCCCCGGCAAGGTGCCCCGCCTGCCTCACCCCCACCCCTCCTCCAAGAGCTCTCCAGGGCACCCACATACTCAGGAACCCTCCCCTACCCCAAGACCATCTGGGACCCCCATCCTGATGTAGCAGCACACGAGGCAAGGTCTCATCATGTCTGTAAGCTGTCTTTTCGCCTCTGTAAGATGAACGGGCTCAGATGGCAGTCAGCCACCACATAGTGACCCGAAGCACCTTCTCCTCCCAGGCCAGCAGCCGGCAGAGAGGCACACTCTGTGGCCGAGATGGGGAGGACCTGGGCAGCTCACCTAGCCCCCTTGGGCCCTCTCCCTCCTCCTCCCGAAGATGGATATCATAATACAGTAGTGCCTAGGGCAAGCGGGTTGGGGGAGGGTTAGATTCGTTAAGGCATGTGGAGCATTCCAAACCGTGCTTGGCATGTCGGACAGTCTGTCCAGTCTGCCGTTATTACCAGAATCACAGCAGTGTCTGTAGGGGCCCGGCACCATGCTGGACACATAGTAGGTGCTGCTCAGACACTGGTTCCTTTCTGCTCAGCCCAGAGATACCTGTGCCCAGGGCCCCCAAGACCCCTCTAGGTTTGAAGATGCTGTTTTTTGTCCTCCTAATCCAACTTTTCCCAGCGCAGCCTCACCAATGTCTCCCACCCTGTCCCCTTCGCCCCAGGAGCTAAGTTTCCCATCAAGTGGACCGCCCCTGAGGCCGCCCTCTATGGCAGATTCACCATCAAGTCAGACGTCTGGTCCTTTGGGATCCTGCTCACAGAACTCATCAGCAAAGGCCGAGTCCCCTACCCAGGTTGGCCGTGGGTGGGGCAGTGGCCTTGGGAGAGGGCTCCCTCCTGGCTTTTCCTTTGAGGGGACCAGGCGCCCTGACTAATGGAGTCCCAACTTGCAGGCATGAATAACCGGGAAGTGTTGGAACAGGTGGAGCATGGCTATCACATGCCATGCCCCGTAGGCTGCCCGGTGTCCCTGTATGAGGCCATGGAGCAGACCTGGCGTCTAGACCCAGAGGAGAGGCCCACCTTTGAGTACCTGCAGTCCTTCCTGGAGGACTACTTCACCTCCACAGAACCCCAGTACCAGCCCGGGGATCAGACATAGCCTGCTGGGGCCTCAGCCACCTCTCTGGGGGTGGCCAAGGCCTTGGTCCAATGCCCAGGGCTTGGGTCCCAAAGCCCACAGGCTTTGAATCCTACATAGAACGTTCTAGTGCATCAGAGAAGAGAGGACACCATCCATCACCACATCGGGTTACCTGTTCACTTTACAGATAGGTCCGATCAAGACTCAGAATGCATCCCCTTCCCCTGTCGGGCTCCAAATACCCTCCCCC